AACTGAATGACAAATATAAAAAAGTAAGATTAATATTGAAATTACTTAAACACCATGTACCTCTCTGTTTTCTTGAGAAAGGATAAGTTTGTAGCGTTTATTTTTCTAATGGGTAAATTGCATGAAACAATAACGTATTTTAAATTGATTATTATTCTAGGTAACGTACTTTCAAAACTTTTATTTTGGTACCTAAGATGTAAAGTTTTAACATTTAAGTCTTCATGATGATGTGGCAAGTGAAGTGGTATCCAACTCATAGATCATGGTAATTGTTCATAAATATCCTGATTGTTTTCTAATAAAAACACTGATTATGGTTTGTAAGATATACATGGTTATATTTAAATCACCTCTAATCTTATAAATATAAGTACTTTTATGTCTTTTTTTCTAATTTGTTTAAAACTTTTTTAAGGCATTATTTAATTAAATAGGAAATTATAATTTTTTTTTTTAATTTTCTTGTTTAATTGACGTTCTCATTTGATCCTCTATATATATATAAACTCAAATTAATAATTTAAAAGTTCTTTTATTGCCGAATATCGTGTTAAATGCCATTAATTTTGTTAGTCTTTTCTTGAACTAATTAATATCATTAATTTACAAGATTTATTACAGATGGAAGCAAATTCCACAAAGGTCAAATTTTAACACATATGGGTTGTTTGGTAGTTGCTGAATGGTTTTGTGCAGAATGATTAAGTGGTCGGAATGATTAAGATGCTTCCATGAAATAGTGCAAATCATTCAAAGGGTTTTAAAATCGTTAAGAGATAGACTTTCGTTTTGCCAAACAAGATTCACTTCTTAACGATTCAAAGGTTGCCTCTTAATGGAACTATTAGGAGATAAACAAATAGCCACATAATTTTGAGTTATGTCTGAAACATATATTTAAATATCAAAATAGTTAAAAGTACAAGTGTTCATGGGGCTAGAACCCTAGAACTAGCCCTACATCGCTGACTATAACAAAAAATAGAATTTAATGAAAGTGAAAACCTAACAAATCAAAATCGATCTAGTCTTACCATGAACCTGGTACAAACTTGGCTTTTTTTAGTTTGAGAAACAATAATATAAAACGATGTTGTTTCAAATTTAAAAAATAGAAAAACCTAAAAACCACCTAGTTTATGTTACAACCGTAAATACAAAACAGACATAAGTGAAACATTGTCAAACCCGCAAGAACAATACTGATTCAAGGTATACAATCCAAATTTCATCTTAAGAGTTGCAGCAGAAATTTAAAGTATAACTACTGAGATTTATTATAGAAACTAGAACCAAGTCCAAGACGACTATATACCAGTAGATGTGCCTCACTTCGAACCTCTAGCTCACACTTTTCCATTGCCTTTGCTAGAGCTCTCAACATGGTATTTGCCTAAAAAGAATTTCAGGTTTTACAAAAGCGAGGGTTAGACCAAATGTATAGTGAATTCCCTCTAACACAAGAGTTCACGCTGAACAATGATATAAAACATAATTGAAAGTAATAGTTATACACACTTAAATTGTAAGACACTGACACACGTTGTAACGGTTGGACATACTTATGATCACACAAACCTGTGACCAACCACTTGGCTTACACCTGCCTAGAATATGAGCAACATAAAACGAATTCATGTGCTTCATTCTTGTTCAGACCCTGTTTAATAAGATATCTACACACACTCACATAGAGAAAACATACCGTGTGACCATCAACCCTTGAATACAAAGCTCGCAACACGAGTAAAAGGTGTTAAACACATTCCATATGAAAAACAAGTCAACGTTGGTCCAAAATAGTAAGAGGAAACTCACCTGAAGTCTAAACCTAGTCATACACCTTTAGGCTAGGATTTCACCAACTGAACACATAAACTTAAGTCACCAAAGGATGAGTCATTACTCCATTTATAGAACCAGTAATGACTCCCTAAGGTAATGTTTTAAAATACAGCTCCAAACTACCCAACAAACAAATTTTGAAAATTGATTACGCGACGTAGGTTACGGGGTAATTCGCGGGGACCCTCTATCCACTGTGACAGCACTGTTCGAGCTTCACAACTCCAACCATAAATCCTCATCCATTTTTATCATAATTAGGATGTATATGAACATTAGAATCAACAAATAAACGCCCCACACCTTTTCTCATCCATTTTAACCACTCGGTCCATGGATTACAATCCTAATTTGACATGATTATGCGATCTATGAAGCGTTGGATCAATTTCTACCCTACATACCATAAGAACTTATTATTTAATGAAATGCACATGCCATACTCGATCCTCACATAACATTTACCATAATTTAATCACTTTCTCCAATTTAAAGTGTAACACCCTCGAATTTCTCCCCTGTAACACCTTGGAATTTATTCCCCTCCCTCAGTCTCCATCCCCTCCTGGTCGGGACTTCTTCCGTCCCGT